TAAATATTTCTTAATATTTCTGTTCTGTGGAGTTTCACCTATGATAACAATGTATTTAAAATGGAAAAAATAGCATTTCCTCTTGGGTGAAATATAATAAAATAAACAAATCAATATTTTCAACCACCTCCACTGAAATCAGTTATAAATTTTGGTTTACAAACTTTAGTATATCTATACAATAGAAAATTTCTCATGGAATGGCTGATTTTATTTGTTCACAAGTCTTCGAATTCCAGAACATATAATTTAAATATTATATCTGCACACATGTTAAACATATATTAAACAAATGTTTGCATCTTAATAAAAACCAATTGAAAATTTTCTAGATATATTCTGTTGTCTAGTATGTTTCACATTTTTTTCCCCTAAAATAAGATGTGCAACGGCCATAAACTGTTAGCTGGGGAAATCAGTAATTTTGCATGTTTTAGTTCATTAATCTCATTCAGATGCATGAATCTGAATGTAGTTAGTAATATTATTTAAAACACTTCAACTGACTTATTTCCACATTTTAAATGCTCCTATGCAAAAATATTGCCTTTTACTTGATTACAAATGCTCAGAATACTACTGAAGGCTTACTCTCTATAACTTAACAAGTCAAGGAATGCATTCTGCTGTCTTGGTTTTATCATTTGTACAAGTTTAGAATCCATTATCATTCAATAATTATTTACAGATTTACTGGAAATCCACCACCATTCTTTCTAATAGAAGGGGTGACTCCAAAATAAAAAAGGAATAAAAAGCTCGGCGTCTGTAGCTCAGCAGCTAAGGGCACCAGCCACGTACACCAGAGCTGGCTGGTTCGAATCCAGCCCGGGCCTGCCAAACAGCAATGACAACTACAACAAAAAAATAGCCAGGCATTGTGGCGGGTGCCTGTAGTCCCAGCTACTTGGGAAGCTGAGGCGAGAGAATCGCTTAAGCCCAAGAGTTTGAGGCTGCTGTGAGCTGTTATGTCACGGTACTCTACCCAGGGCAACATAGTGAGATTCTGTCAATAAAAAAAAAAAGGAATAAAAAAGAACAAAAAGTGAAAGAGGCTAGACCGTGAAACATAACAGGTGGCGTAAGCAGTTGGTTTATTTGTTTGTTTTCCATCTCTATGGCATGGTGGTAAAAACTTCAGATTTATTGTTTTTTCATTTTTGCCAGAGACTCTCACATCCCTAGACAGTTAACTTTTCTAAGATCAGAAAAAGAAAATAAAGCATACAAATATTAAACAAATGTCACAAACATTAAACAAAAACTTGGTGCTCTCTGATAGTATTTCTCCTGGGTTATTCATCTAAGGATTTGTTGCAACAAAATTCTTTTAAAGAAGTTTTGATACTGCGAATGTCTCTCATTAAGACTCCTGGAGACGGATGTGGGTGGAAGCGATTAATTGAACCAACAGCTCCTGTTTACAAAACAACTGTGGACAGTTTGTGTGTATGATAAATGACAGACTAAGGAAATCAAGAGCAGGCAGTACTGTCAGTGTCAGACAACCTTTAGAGGCTAACTGGGCTTTCACTAATGGTATGCTGAGAAACCTGACTCTTCAAGTTCATTAACATTGCCAAGTTCTGATCAGGGCTTTGGAGTTGCGAAATGACTCAAAATAAATGCCCAGTGTTGAATTTCTTGCAGCCTAGTGGGGGATGCAGGCGCATAACACATCATTTCAGCAGGGTGGTACCAAGTGTTAAAATTTCCTTGTTTCCCCCTAAGTCTTTCCCACCTTAATAAATGGTAACTTCATCTTCCATTACTCAAGTCATTCTTTTTTTTTTTTTTAATTTCTAAGAGTTTCATTGAGGTAGCTGAAGTCATCCTTGACTCTTATTTTCTATTGTTCCCCCAGAGGTCCCAGAACAAAAAGTGCTCCTCTCTTTCTTTCACACCCCTATGCGCAAATTCCAATGAATCTTACCGCTTCTAACTCCACCTCTACCCTCGCATCAAACCCATCAATCATCATTTCTATGGAGCATTAATAAAATCCAGCGTTCTTCCTGCTTCCGCACTTGTACCTTGCAAATCCATGCTTAACATGACAGCCAGATGGCTCCTATGTGCAAGTCTGGCTACGTCACTGTGCAAACCTGCCTGCTGCTTCCCAACTCACTTGAGTAAAAACAAAGCCCCATGTGGGCTGAGAAGTCCCTTCAAGACGCTCCCCGTCGGAATCCTCCTCCAGTCCTCCCAGCCCCGGGTCTTCACTCAGCCACGCTGCTTTCCTTGCCTTCCTCCAACTCCACACGCTGACTTTTGTCTTTGAATCCTTTTTTTTTTTAATTAAATCATAGTTGTGTACATTCCATTTCCTCTTGTTCACAGTTTTCTTTCCCCTTGTTTTTCCACCTCTATCTGTTCTTTACTCAAAACTCATTTTCTCAGGGAGGCCGTGTTTGTACGTGGTATTTCAAACTTCATACCCCGGAACCCTCAGCACTGTTTACTCCACTTCTTTATTTTTTTCTCTACGGGCGCTTCCCTCCATGACGTGATATCTAGTTTTGTATATATTTTGATTCTTGGCACCAGTGACTTGATGGTAACCCCCAGGAGGGCAATGGTTTTGTTTGATTCACTGTTGTTTCTTTAGCAGTTAGGACAATATACAATGTATAGTAGTTTCTCAATAAGTATTTGTTGAAATAATGACTTTTCTTTCCAAAGTGCTGTCTGCGTCCCTCAGACAAACTGTCCTTCTTTCTCTGGATGTCTGTAAATGTTGTCACCTATATAACATCTATGTGGACACCTGTCTGGCTGGCAGACTGAACTTTTGAGTATAACTGCAGGGACAGGGCCAGCTGCATAACTTACAAAGTTCAGTTCAAAATATAATTGTGATCTTTCTTATTTTAAATCATTAAGAGGCTTGGCACCTGTAGCTCACCGAGTAGAGTGCCAGCCACATCCATGGAAGCTGGCAGGTTCCAACCTGGCCTGCGCCTGCTAAACAACAATGACAACTACAACCAAAAAAATAACCTGGCATTGTGGCCGGCGCCTGTAATTCCAGCTACTGGAAAAGAGAATCACTTAAGCCCCAGAGTTTGAGGTTGCTGTGAGTTGTGATGCCACAGCACTGTACCTAGGGTGACATAATGAGACTCTGTCTTAAAAAAAAAAGTAAGAATTTTAGCATGGCAGCTCCCAAGTACTAAACCAAGGGTGGCGTTCTTCTAAATACAAGCTGTATGTCCATGAATCCATCCTCTATATCTCTTAATCTCTACACACCAATAATTAGCAATATCACTGGTGAAAAATAGACATTCCATAAATGCTTATTGATTGAATGCTTATATCCTTACCAGAGGAATTTGAAAATGTCCTAATTATATATGACCATCACAGAATATCTGGAAAAATAATTATAATGGAAAGCCTTGATCAAGTGAAATGTGTTTTGTAAGTGATAAGATAATTTCAAAGGAAAGTCAGAATTAGGTGTTATCCCAGGTTCTAATTCACTGTGACATTTCTGCTCCAGATTTTTAGACCTCTCCAAATTTCCTGTCTTAGACATTAAAAAACAAGATGAAGGGGAAGAGACATCATTCTAATCTGTTCTATTTCATTTTACCAAATAAGCCTTTATTTTATTTGGGATGTAAAGCAATTTATTCAAGATAATATCTCCTAGAATCATAAGGGTGATGGATTCTGTCAATGCATATACTTTTTGAATTATCTGTATTAACTGAAAAGAAGAAATCTAATATAGAGAGAGGCCATTTTTTCTTGATATAAAATCAAATCTATATGTTTCAATGATCGATAATATTTATATTTATTAACAATAATTTGGTTTTCCATTCCCAAGTCGAAGGGAGATTTTTGTTATCCTTGTTTCCTGTGGCTTATTTTGGAGAAAACAGGAATTTGAAGATAAGTTAAATTCCAAGAGAATATTTCCCAAAGAATAGCAGGTATGTCTATTTGTCATATCTAAATCTAAAGATGGTTGCATTAGAGAAAATGGTTATTGTATTTTCTTTTGTGCTGACATGAAGAAGTCTGAAAGTCTCTGAAATCTGCACTGTTCTAAACAGATGAATGAACAGAGATATGATTGAATTAGTAAATAAAAGTGAGCTTTCCACAGAAGTTGTAGAAATGCAGGATGTTCAGTTAATCTACCTTTCCTTCACGTCCTCAAGGTCAAGGCCGCCTTTTCCTATTAAGGACAACAATAGGAGATAGCACTTTGGTATAGCACTTTTTATCTTTCAAAGGGTTTATTTTTCCTTTTTCACAACATCATTGTTAGGAAAATAGGACAGGTACGTTATTTTTATCCTTCAGAGTACTGTGTACACAGACATTGAACATAATTTGTGAAAAATAGAAGAAAAAAGGAGCTAATAAAGAGTACGGGATTTCAGTGAGCATTTAGAATGGATCATTTTTGCTACAGTTAATACTTCCCTATTATTTTAATGTTGTATTATTGCCACCAAAGTATATCCAAACCTTTAATTTTATTATCCACTTGCAAGCACTATGAGAATAGAGAAGATTAATTCAGTATGGAAGCAAGTGTCACGTTTTCCATTTTTCTGTTAAGTCTCTTATAAGCCAGTATTGTTTCCTTAAATCTGCAAGTGATAGGCCCAGGTTATAATCGCTTACTCTTTAGTATTTTCTGATCATTCTGTAAATATTTTCCCTACTTAAGAAACTTAAAACTTATGGTGATGCTATACCACATTTCGGATTCAGTATATAGAATAACATCCTCTAAATTCAGAAAATAAGTGAAGAGAGTTTTAAACAGCAGAAGTTGACATTTTGAAAACTAACATTAATAAAATATCATAATGGTTTATTGTGATTTTCAATAATTCTTTATTATATATAGTCAATGACTTGAATAGGTCCTTGAGTTTAATATACAAAATTAAAAACATTTTTGAATGAAAGAATACCATGTGATTATTTCCATGAGTAAACTGGTTTCTTCTGGACAAATGAACATCCAGAGGTCATATTTCTGCATACACTCTATTACTGATGTTCATGAAGAAACAAACAGTTAACAGAGATCCGCAAAACCTAAAAGAAAACAATAACAGATCAAAATCTAATAAGAATAATTTATAAAACTAACACTGAACTATTTAATCACCAAATGCATATTGTAAATGGAAAGGGGATAAAACAGGTTAAGAAACTTTCAAGGTAAGGTGACATAGTTGTCAATAAGAAATGGGCAGAATAAGTCTTCCAGAGTAACCCACCTGCAAGTAAATTCATGCATAAAATAGAAAAGAGAAAAACTTCTTATATTTAAACTACATGGGCTATCATTGGCTAGATGCCTTGATGTACTGATAATTTGTGTTTTGTTCATTTTTTTAACTATGTCATTAAACCTACAAAAATACCTCTTTTTGTATAGGATCATAAAAGGTGGTGTACAGAGGATAGAAGTTTCCAATGTTCCAGCATGAATACAATATCGAATAAACATTTTATTTTTTTGATAATAAACATTTTAAAACAATGACATGAATACTTACAAGAATGTCTAGTAAGTTTACTAGAATGTCTGTCTAGTTTAATACCATTCTGAAACAAGCACTGTTACCAATTAATGAGATGGAACTCTAGTTCAGTGACTTTGTAGATCAGTATACAATCAAATGTAGGATCATTTCCTATTCTAGAAAATGATGCATTAAGTGTTTGTTCCAATGCTATAGTCTCCAGGATGATAATCTACCCACTCTTAATAGTTTCTTTGCACTTGTTCTTACCAGTCTTTAACTGAGACTGAAGAAGGGTGACCTGCTTCTAAATCCTAATTCTGCAGTCGACACTGTGCAGGTCATAGACTGTGTCTATTTTGCTTCTCATTGTATCTCCAACTCTAGTACATCATGTGACACACAGTAGGTGCTCTCCTGCTCCAAATTAATTGAATGAGAAAATGAACAAATGAGCATATTAGTGAACAGTGGCTCTTACTAATATAACTTCTGCCTAGATGTCAGAAGTTTGCAAACTTGCAGACTGCTCAACATGATGCTCTTATTGCAAAGATAGAAAAAATATATATAATATAATAAATATACATAATATCATAAATATATATACTGAGATATAGGAAGATATATGAGAACTATGAACAGATAGATCTCTCAAAGCAATGAAATCGACCTCCAGGATGACTACTTATTAGCAGGCTCCACCCACCTGGCTAATTAAGGAATTGACCATACCCCTCCTAGATATGAATAGTCTCAAGGTCCTGGCTCTTGTTGTATTAGCTTCTTTGATTAAGTCTTCACTTAGGTGTTCCAAAGTCTATTTTAGTGTATGATACTTAATATTTTTTACCTTTAAACAAACATACCAGCAAAAGCTTACCTCTAAAGCGGAAAGTCCCAAGTTAATTCCAAGTAAAGTTAAAGCGTTAACATTATACCGTGTGCTGATTCTATCTCCACAACCCTAAGGAAAAGAAATGACTTAGATTGACTTGGAGATGAAAATGGTCTGGTACATAATTATATTACAAAGAAGGAAAGGCACAGGGACACTGATGATTAACAAAAGTCTAAATAGTAAGCTAGGGTCTAATTGGAGACTGTAGTTATGGTCCAGAAGCTTTGTGTGATAGCAGGATATCTCAGTTGCTAATTTTAAAGTTGCTAAGATGTTGTCATGTAATTAAAGTCAGAAATGTATTAAGTTTTGGAAAGAGATTTGTTGTTCTATAGACTATTGAATTCATCAGGACACAGGGGTGCCCCTTACCAACTGAGAGCACATTACTAGACACTAGTGAATGCCTAATACCTGGGTAATAGTGAACTCTATATATACTATAATTTCCTCATATGTACATACATCTAGCAAAGTTTAACTTATAAAGTATGCACAGTATGGGATTAACAACAATTGATGGCTCGGCGCCTGTGGCTCAATCGGATAAGGTGCCAGCCACATACACCTAAGGTGGCGGGTTCGAATCCCTAGCCCGGGCCCACCAAACAACAATGATGGCTGCAACCAAAAAAAAGGCCAGCGCTGTGGCGGGTGCCTGTAGTCCCAGCTACTTGGGAGGCTGAGGCAGGAGACTCGCTTGAGCCCAGGAGTTGGAAGTTGCTGTGAGCTGTGAGGCCATGGCACTCTACCCAGGG